GTCCAGCTGCATCTCATGGACTGTAGCAGTTCAAGAAGTTAGCTCACTCCCAAGGCGATTAGTAAATGGGCAATAAACGTTGACCCAGCCAGCAACGTCCAAATCCCACGAACAAATAAATAAAATGCTCTAGAGATTAATCAGGCCCTTGTCTCACAGAGGGTTGAGAATGATAGATGAGTTTTAATTTCAAATGCCAACTGTTGTATATTGCTTTGCTATAAAAGCCAAATAATAACTGCAGGACATTGTGCCTCATTGAAGCTTACAAAATGTTTAAAAGGAAAGATGCTTCGATGCAGGTAAGATGTTTCTCCCGGTTGGGGAGTCTCGCACAATTTAAAAATAAGGTGGATAGCATTTAGGTCCAAGATGATGAGAAATCTTTTTACCCAGAAGGTTGTGAACATTTTGAATTCTCTACCACAAAGGAGTGCAAAAGCTTAGTCTTTGAGGCATGTTTAAAATGGAACAAAAACAGAAGTTGCTGGAAAAGCTCAGCAGAAGAAAAATCAGAGTTAACGTTTCAGGTCCAGTGACCCTTCCTCAGAACTCAATTTCTGATTGCCAGCGGCGTACAGGACTATGGGCATGGTGTGGGTAAAAGGCATTTAAGTGTTCGATCTGTCATGATTGCATTGAATGGAGGGGCAGGCTCCATGGGCTGAATGGCCATCTTCTGTTGCTGTGTCACAGTAATCGTGACCTATTTCTAAAGACGTATGCCCAAGAACAAACTGCGATATTTTGAAAGGCTATTAAATACCAAAACATCCTGTGACATTTGAGGGAGATACAAGACAAAAGGTAAAGGTTAAACCCAGAATCTTGTTTGTCCATTTGTTTCAGACAATATCTTTCTCTGGTGAGTGGGCAGAAACAGAGACTGTGAAGGAAGATCATTCCGGGAGTGCTGAGAGAGATGATTTACTCTGTACTCAGTAAGCACCAACAGCACGTGTTAACTATTTACAGGAGATTTGAGAAGAGATCTTCGCTATCTACACACTCAAGTTCCACATCACTGATGATCTAGTCTACTCATCAACATTTTTTTCTTTATTCATTTACAGGATGAGGACGTCGCAAGGCTAGGCCAGTATTTATTGCCTATTCCTAATTGGCCAGAGGGCAGTTATGAGACAACCACATTGCTGTGGGTCTGGTGTCACACGTAGGCCATCCAGTTAAGGATGGCAGTTTCATTCCCTAAAGGACATTAGTAAACCAGATGGATTTTTCCAGTAACCAGCAATGGATTCATGGTCATCATTAGATTCTTAATTCCAGATATTTCTGAACTCAAATTCCACCATCTGGTGTCACGGGATTCGAACCCAGAACATTAGCCAGGTCTTTGGATTAACCACTCAGTGATAATATGACTAGGCCATTGCATCATGAATGTTCACCTATTACTCTACGAGCACAGAGATTGTATGTAGTGTGAACCTGAATCAGCCACCAGTGTATTTAGCTTTGCCCAATACATTGTTTCTATCCTAGCCTTTCTTTCACTTTTGTTTCAATAATTAAATGACAACCACATAATCTTTATAACCTCATAATGATGCAGGAAGTTCTAGAGCCTGCTAAAACTTAGATTTTTATTTACAGCATGTTAAATTTTCAACATTCTAAATATTCATAACTTTAATCAAGCTATAATGTTTCATTAAAGATCTTTGGTAGGAGTAATAGTAAAAAGAGTGATTACTTGAATGGTAAAAAGTTGCAGCATGCTGCTATGCAGAGGGAC